TTAAACTTTAAAGAACTTATATTCAATTTAAAGGCAAACTCTGAAATCCCCTGGATTACTTATAATAATCAAGAACTATCTTTTTTGTTCTCAGAAAATCTTGAGTTCAACAACAAATTTTTGCTATTACTAGTCATCGAAAATCTTTCAGAAAGTACGTTATCATTCGTTAAAAAAGTTGTGTCAGAGCATGAATTTACTTTAACCAAAGTAATTATCCTGCCACTACTCTCTGATCAACAAGAGAAAAGAAGGAAACATCTGCTAAATTTGATCATGGACTTTAGTGTTATAAAACGGATTGTTATCATATTCAGCCCCGAGATCGCGTACGAAATTGTCACATTTCCATATCGTATTATAAACGAAGTCAATGTTTATACAATAACAGAGCTTTTACAATTATTTATGAAGAAAGACAAAGATTTTTACGGAATGATTGTCAAAACATGTTTTATTGAGAACGACTTTCCACGGGCGTTTGTTATTATGAAAAAAAACGGCAGAAAAAAAATTACTGGAACTAGTGCTTTACCTCTGTTACACTTTTATGAGCATGTAAATGCTACTCCAAAAATTGAATATTCATTGGGTAACTTGTATTTCAACTTTCTCAATAATATACAAAAAAATATGTCAGAAATTTGCATTAACTTTTATGAACCTTTTAATAGCGACATAAGTTATACATTTCCTACAGGATTCGCTTCATCATGTTTATTTTTGCCTTATAGTTCAGAAATTGAGCGAAGTTCTTACATTTTGTTGCCTTTCGACCTTACAATTTGGAAATTATTAATATTTTTTGTCTTTTATTACACAGTAGTACATTTAATAGTCACAAAATTTGCTACCGAGCGATCGCAATTGGATTTTGGGAAATCTTTTCTAGACGCAATTTGCAATATTCTATTAATATCCAAGCAAATGAGCAGTTGGCAACTACAATCACAAAAAAAAATTTTAAAACATTGGATCTTCTGCTTGCAATTTTTGTTTGGATTTATTTTAACCAACATTTACTATGCAAAATTATCGAACTTTTTAGCTGCAATTGTTTTCAAAGAGCCAGTTCGAACTATCAGAGATTTAATAAAATCAAACATCCTCCTTTATATTTATGAAATTGAAGTTGACTTTCTTGCGGAAATATTTTCAGATGATATTCGCCCAAATTTAGTAATAACAAATGATTTGGAAAAATATAAGCAATACCGTGTATCCTTGAATCATCAATATGGATACGTTGCCAATTCAGATCGAGCTAAATTTCTATTAAAACAACAAGAGCTTTCGAAAAGACCTTTATTTATATTTTCCGATTTATGTCTTTATAGTGCATTTTTAACATATCCAATAAGAAACCATACACCAATATTAGAAATCCTCGAAGAATATCTTCGGACAATTTCTGAATCTGGAATTTCAAAAAAAATTGAAGAGGAAGTGTTTCAGGACGCTTTTGAAGGAGGTGTGATTGAAAATAGAAACCAAGAAATTTTTCATCATCACGTAATTGAAATGGAACATCTCCAATTCGTGTTTTTAGGTTTAGTGATCGGTTTAGGCAGTAGCATTTTGGTATTTATCGTTGAGGCTTGTTTTGGCAAGATTTAAACACGTCAGCAGACCCATGATATAAAGTCTCAAAAAGAAAATGTTTGGGTAAGTATAAAAATTTAAAATTAAAATTCACAAAATTGAATATTGAAATTTAATATTTGACAAATCATGATTTCCTCATTATTTTGAAAGTTAACTTACTAATTCAAGTATGTTTTCACTGTGATATTGAAAAATTTCAGAAAATGGCCAAAACATTTTAGGATATGGCTTCCTTACGTAAAGAGCAATATTATTAAATACTAGTATATTTACAAAAATACTATAGTTGAATTATATTATCACATTCCTTGAAAAAATTAGAAAGCTAGGACCGCGTGGATCTTTATAGATCCATCTAGTCAGTCTAGGATCAGCTAGTCAAACCACCATTTCACGCATCATTTTCCGAGTTACTCAAATTTTTAAAGTTCCTTTTCAAAGCGCGTTTATATATGTATGTATTTCCAGCCGTCACAAGTTTGTTTTTTAAGATCTTCTTCTCGTGGAATGATGAAATTTTTTCTATCAAATTAAACGAATAATGTGCATAAATTATCTTACATATTATGGAAAAATGGGATTGGAATAATTAAGAATGGAAAAAATGAAACAGAAAATAATGGTTAAAATTATCAAAATCTTGTAATACAAATCGCTAACCAAGCGTAATATTATGTCAAATATTTAATTAATATTAGTTTAAGTTGACATGTCAACTGAAGCAAGAAACACAAACTTTAAGGGGCAAGCTTTTATATAGAAATATGGAACAATTAAATACGCTAAAACGAATATAAGCAACGCCTTCAAATTAATAAAATATTATATAATTAAGTGTCCTTTTCTAATGATTTAATAAAAAGTATTAATATTAATTTTAAATCCTACGCTACCAAGTTAATTAAAATTATTAAATTATTTAATTAACATTTTTCATTCGTATTTAATATTATGGGTAATTAGAAATATCTAGCAACAAAGTGTTCTTAGTTAAAATTCCCAACAAAATTAATTTAGTTTTTCTCATCTTGTTCGAGCTAAAGGTTCAATTATCTTAACATTTTTAATATAATGTTTAAAAAAAATGGATTGACTAATTTAATCTCCCATTGTTGTGTTCCCAGCAATAGATTTTTAAAAAGTTTCGAGAAATAATGCAGTTACAAAATTTCATTATAATTAATTTAATAAATATTTTTTACAAGCAACAAATTGAAAATAAAATTGAAACTCTAGTTTTAATAACAAGTCAAGAAAACCGGAACTCATCTAAAAATTTGGAAGACTTTATATTAAATATAAAAGTAAAATCTCAAATCCCGATAATTTCTTATAACGAACAAAAAATATCCTTTTTAGATTCACAAAAAATTCAACTTAATAAAAAACTCTTGATATTACTAATCATCGAAAATTTTTCAGAGAAAACGTTGGCCTTGGTGAGAACAATTTTATCAGAACGTGAATTTACTTTGATTAAAATTATTATACTACCACTGTCCTTTGATCAACAAGCAAAATTAAAACAAAAACTATTAAGTTTTATTATGAGTTTTAATATTATCAAAAGGATTATTGTTATTTTCAGCCCAAAAAGGTTGTACGAAATTGTCTCGTTCCCACATCCTATTATTAACGAAATTCGTATAACTACAGAATTAGACATTTTAAAATTATTTTTAAAGAAAGATACCAATTTTAATGGAATAATTATTAAAACATGCGTTAACGAGAACGATTTTCCCCGGGCTTTTGTCATCAAGAAGAAGAATGGGCAAAAAAAACTCACTGGCACTAGTGTAATACCTCTGCAAATATTTTATGAGCATGTCAATGCATCATCAGAAATTATACACTTCAATATTAATGCGACTTATTCAAGCTCTGTTCAAAATATAAAGAAAAATATTTCAGAAATTTGTATTAATCCTAACGATGTCATAGACAGTAACGTAAGTTATACATTTCCAAGAGAAAAATTTCCAGGGTGCTTATTTTTGCCTTACAGTTCGGAAATTGAAAGAAGTTATTATATTCTATTGCCCTTCGATTCAACAGTCTGGAAGCTTTTAATAATTGTAGTTATTTATTATACAATCATACATTTATTGATTACAAAATTTGGAACAAAACCAGCGCAATTGGACTTTGGAAAATCATTCTTAGATGGTATTTGCAATGTATTGTTTATACCTAAGCAAATAAATAGTTGGAAACTGCAATCACAAAATAAATTTGAAAAACATTTGATTTTGTGTATGCAATATTTACTTGGATTCATTTTAACCAATCTTTATTATGCAAAATTATCCAACTTTTTAGCTGCAACAGTTTTCAAGGAGCCGATTCGATCTCTGCAAGATTTAATAGAATCAGATATACGCCTTTATATTTATAAATATGAAATTGATGATATTGTACAACAGATGTCAGAAGATATTCTAAAAAACGTGATACCAGCCATAGACTTAGAAACGTATAAGGAACATCGAGCATCTTTAAACCGTCAATACGGATATATTGCAGACTCTGATCGAGCTAAATTTCTTTTAAAACAACAACAGCTTTCAAAAAGGCCATTATTTATACTCTCTGATTTATGTTATAGCAACACTTTTGTATCATATCCAATAAGAAAGCATTCACCATTATTAGAAGTCCTTGACGAATACCTTTGGAGAATTTCGGAATCCGGAATATCTAAAAAAATCGAAGAAGAAGTTTTTGAGGACGCTTTTGAAGGAGGTGTGATTGAGAATAGAAATCAAGATATTCTTCATCATCATATCATTGAAATAGAACATTTGAAATTTGTGTTCTTGGGATTTATAATTGGAATGTGCAGTAGCACTTTGGTGTTCGCCGTTGAGTTTTTTACTAATAAAAATAAATTAAAATCTAAAATTATAAGGTGAATTTTAAACATAAAATAATCGTGTAAGCGCTTGAAAATAAAATTGTGAATTTGTAAAATTTTAATGCTCACTTATGAGAACATTATCAAAAAAACAATAAAGCTTTTAGAAATAAATATGAAAGTTAAACATAGAAAGCTTTTATTCAAATCACAAGAAAAATTGTGCCATTTAAATTATTATGAAAAAATTAATTTTTTGTTTTATTTTTTATAAAATAGTAACACTTAGTATAATTCCCCAAAATTCATTAAAATTTTGCTTGCAAATGAGTTTAAAAAAATTTAATAGAATTGATAATATAAAATACAAGTACCATAACTACACCTTAGCTAAAAATATTAGAAAAATAATGAAAAAACTTGTAATTAATAAATTTAAAATTGTTATTAAAAATAAAAACTTAACTTTAAAAACAAAGCGGTCATGCAATATTTAAAGTAAATAATTAAAACTAAAAAAATAAAAACCTTCACCAACCTTAAACCAAAATGCGACCTGGGATAGCATTTACATCGTTTTTTTTTGTTTTGCAAAATCAGTGGTCACCAGAAGTGCGTATACATAATGTATATTTATTATCCCAATAAACATTTTGTTACAAAATCGTCCGAAACAAAAATATTTAAATAACCAGATCGTATTTTACAAACAACATTTTTTTTTTGGTTTGTTTGTGTGAATTTATTGTAATAAAAATTTTATGAATAGATTTGTAACATTTTTAAATTTTTTTATATATCAACGTTTATGGTATTTGTTTTTTGTGTATTTGTGTTTATCCCATAACATCCCAGATGTAAATATAAGAAGCGCATACACATATAGACACATTTAAAGCAAAAATTAAAAAGAAAAAGAAAGAAAAAATATAATTATATAAAAGAAATAAAATATATTTAAATTTTATAAATAAAAATAAAATATTTACTTAAAATAATTGTTGAAAATAAATAAAAAACACACAAATGAAGAATTGTGAATTTTAATTTACTTTAAAACTTAAATTGAATTTTATTTGACTACGTCGGCAGCGATTAATGTGCAGTCAAAATTAACTTAAATTTTCATAAAAGTCAGGTGAGAATTTAAGCCAATTAAACGACGCGCGGTTTTAAACGACGGCGGTACTTTCTCTTTTTTCCAATATTCTACAATTAAAATTCACAATTTAAACTTATTCTTACATTACGTTTTATTTACAAATTCAAATTGATTTTTCATGTATACACAAAAAATATTCAGTGTAATTTAAAATTTGAATATTAAATTAGATTTAAAGTGCACCAAAACTCAAAATATTTACTTAATTTCAAGATTTGTTGAGTTACGATATCTTACAAATAAAAATCTTAATATTTTTTAAATTTGTGATTTCTAATTCATAATACATAAAATTTCTAAATTTCATAATATGTTACATAACGGGAAATTTGTTTGTTTTTTTATTTCACTTGCTTTTATATTTGACATTACTTTATATTTGATTTATTATCATTGCCGAATATGAAATCAACTCAGTTTGGTTTATTATTTCCCATTGGAGAGATGAACGTTCACACAATTATTCTAATTTATTAACATTTTCAGTTTCCAATATTTTTTAATAAATTGGATGTTTGAAATGTCTACTAAATCGTGCAATTTTCTGGCCTTAAATAAGACATTTTTTTGAGCTTGTAAACAAAATCCCTTGTTTTGCCAATTAGAGAAAACAAAGCTAAATTTGTTGTTCGTGACACGTTGTTTATATTTCTTCGCTATGTTCCGAAATATAAAAAATACCTGTGGCCAATATTTTGAAATTCAATATGAAATTAAAAAAATAAACGATTAATTTATCGAACTGAATAAGTTGGCTTCATTCATGCCGTTTTTTTTTTTTCTAATTTTTTCTTCAAGTCATCCTTGAAGAAAAAATTAGAATCCATAATTTTTAATTTTCATCCATAATTTTTAAAATAATTTTTTAGTCTATTTGTATTCTTTATGCATACATTCCCATAAATGTATAAGTAATTATTATTTTTCACATTAATTTTTAATAATCTTTAAAAAAAAATAATTATTTTCATTTTATATAATATGAAACATAAATTTCTAATAAAAAAACACAACAAAAAACTTTTTCGAAAATTTTAAATCAAATATGTAAGTGTCAAAATAAAATATCCAACAAAGAAAATTGCAATTAGAATATAAAATCACTTAAATCAACTTTCAATGATAATAAAAGATTGAAGTGAAATGAAAATTTAAAGCAAATTTAAGCATTTTTAAGTAAAAACTGCCCACAATTTTACTCATTATTTTTTATAATGAAAATTATATGTATCTTGTTGTATGTGATTTTGAAATAATGCTCTTACCAACAATCATAAAATATCACTTGATTATTTCAAATAATCAATTTCACACTGCCGACTAACCTTGCCTATATAACAGAGTCTCTAATACAACAATTAAAAGTTTCTCTAATGCAAAATATTTTGGATTGTAGCCAAATTTCAATTTTGAATGAAAAGGATAGAAAATGCAGACGTTGGTGAATTGCGTTATGAAGAGAAGCTCCTTTTTAAGTGCAATTTCTTATTTTTCCCTTAATGCATTAAAAAATTAAATATTTTTAATTGAAAAATTTAACATTAGATTTAAACTATTGTTTTTTATTTACTATGATTTTAATATTTATTAATTATGTGATCTGAAAATAATTACACTATGCCAAACATTTGTAATTCTTGGAACGCTCTCTTTATCTAATAATGATTTTTTTAATTTTTAATTTAGTGCCGTAAAATGCAAAAATGTTATCACTTTGAACATTTCAATATTAAGAACAAAAATTTTCCCAACAAAATTTTACGGCGTCTCTGATAGTAATTTGTGATAGTTAAAAGCCATAAATGTAAAATTTATATTCTTTCTCTAGATTATAAAAGAAAATTTGTAATATTTTTTCCTGCTCAGACATTATTACGAAAATGTTTACCAACTCTGTTGTTTAGTCTTATAATCAATTGAAAAATGTGAAGCACGTTTTTTACAATATTTAAAATTGTTTTGTGGTACATGAAACATGAAAGTACATTTATGAATATATGTGTATAGAAATATGTGTGTAGTACTGTGCGTATACATATTTATTCGTAATAATGTCATAAATTTTAATCACTGTTTTAATAAACCTCAACAAAATTATTCAAATACACATTATTTACAAAAACATTGCTATTAAATATTAGATTTATTGTTAAACCATATTGTATGTATGTATATTTAAGTATGTATATTGAAAATAGAATAATAATTTAGCAATTTTACAATTATAAAACTTTTGTAAATATTCTAATATACTAAGAGCTTAATTGAATTTCATAAAGTTCAAAAACCACTAATAAAATATTCTGACATTCAATTCACTTTAATTTTAATCCAAAACATAAATTACTTTTTAACGATCTACTAAATAGTATTTAAAATGAATAAAATAATATTTTATGACCAAAACTAAATTAAAACATTTCCAAAAAATTCTCATTAATCTTTGGATAAAAAAACAAATTTTTTTTTTTTTTTAGAACAAAAATTTTTTTTTTTCATGAATTTAAGAAATTACACCAGAAAAGTTTAAAACACTTGTACTAATTAATTTTATTAAAAACGCAATAAAGAAAAAAATTAAACGAATAATTAATTAATTGTTTTTTAAGACGGTAAAGGAGTTGATTAAAAATGAATTTAATTAATTTAATTTCATTTGAAAATAATCTGAAAAGTTTCATCAATTCTAATTTTGAAATATAATAAAATTTTGTATTTTGAAATTAAAATTAAAATTTTAGGAAAAATACTAAAAACTAGTTCCAATCTTAATTTAATAAAAAGGTGTCAGTTGCAAAACAAATATTTTTCGAAGTGTTTTTTTGTTCAGATTAAAGTCGCCCGTTTTCTGACTAGTATAGGTGAAGTAAATGAAATCAATTAGCTGCCGACGACAGAAGCAAATTATTTTTCTTCCACCTTGAGCACTAATAACATTGTACTGATGTATCAGCACTTGCATTTAGACTAGTTATTTAGACCATATTGATTTGAAAAACTGTTACTTTAGCCGAAATATCTTATTGATTTTTTACTAAAGAATTGATAAAGTTCAGATTTTAAACTTGTTGGAAAAGTATTCATGTATCAGCTTACAATAGATTCAAAATGTATATCGGAAATAAAATTCTGATTGAATTTCAGTCTCAGTCAAAACCAAAAAAAAAAATTTATATTAGTTTGTCGGAAACATTTTGAAAATTATTAATAAATAAGCTTATGAATATTAAGATAACGCCAAAGGACGATGTTGTTTAGATTTAAGGACAAAAAGTTCAAAAGAGTTGATAAATCAAGTTGATAATCAATTTGTTACTAAAAACAATAATAAAAACAACAATTAAACCTAATCCTATGAAACCTATATAATAATATTAAAATTTTTAAACTTAAACAATATTTCTGCATTTGAATTTAAAGCCCTTATTGGAATAATATTATTTAGGAGAAATGTGTAAAATTTAAGATTTCAGCCAAAATATCTCCTATCCATGCCATATAATATTAAAATTAATTCGCACATGCTATTTAAAATAATGATTGCTTAACCATTTTTAAGTAAAATTAAGACGAATTTAATTTTGAAACTATAGAAAAAACTATCTTAAGAATTAGATGGCATTTTATGTTATTTTTCGCTACAGAATTAATTTGTATGTACCTTATATAAATGCACCTACATAACATTTTACAATGTAGTAAACCTGTTTGAATAATACATATGTACTAAAAAAATTAAATTTGCAAAAAAAAAAATATTATTATTTATTGTTCACTAAATTTAATATATCGTTTCCTAGCAATATATTGTACATACGTGTGTACATAAATATTTTCAATTAAAATCATACTTTACATTGAAGGGATGGGGAAAATTTCTCAAGAAATAAAAACACTCGTAATAAAATAATAATAACAATACCTAGACTTAAACAATATGTATGTAAGTATATATAAGTATAGAACACGTACATATACATATAAGTAAATCGATACAAAATGTTCAAACACATACATAGTGATAATATACATACATACATATATAATATGTTTCATACTTTTTTAAACTTAACGACTCAGAACTACTTTCATATTATATCATGGTATGTATACCTACGTCTCTAATATTTGTGTGGGTGTAGGTACCATCAACTTCATGTACACATATAAAATTTTTATCCTTGATAATTTTATTGTTGATTTTTTAGCACTTTTCCAAAAAAATTTGAAAAAAAAATGCATATTAGTTTCATTCCGTCCGTTCGTCCGTCTGTGGACATGTTCACAAAACTACTACACTCTTGAAGATAGGAACCTGAAATTTCATACGTACATAGAGCTTTACTAAAAACTTATTTCGTAAAATGGCATTTTTTAATTATCCACTGCATAGT